AAGTGGTGCTGGGAAAACTGGACAGATACATGCAAAAGAATGAAATTAGAACACTCCCTAACACCATACAGAAAAATAAACTCAAAATGGATTAGAGACCTAAATGTAAGACCGGACACTATAAAATTCTTAGAGGAAAACATAGGAAGAACACTCTTTGACATAAATCACAGCAAGATCTTTTTTGATCCACGTCCTAGAGTTATGCAAATAAAAACAAAAATAAACAAATGGGACCTAAAGAAACTTCAAAGCTTTTTGCAAAGCAAAGGAAACCATAAACAAGATGAAAAGACAACCCTCAGAATGGGAGAAAATATTTGCAAACGAATCAACAGACAAAGGATTTATCTCCAAAATATATAAACAGCTCATGCAGCTCAATATTAAAAAAGCAAATAACCCAATCCAAAAATGGGCAGAAGACCTAGATAGATATTTCTCCAAAGAAGATATACAGATGGCCAAGAAGCACATGAAAAGCTGCTCAACATCACTAATTATTAGAGAAATGCAAATCAAAACTACAATGAGGTATCACCTCACACCAGTCAGAATGGGCATCATCAGAAAATCTACAAAGAAGAAATGCTGGAGAGGGTGTGGAGAAAAGGGAACCCTCTTGCACTGTTGGTGGGAATGTAAACTGATACAGCCACTATGGAGAACAGTATGGAGGGTCCTTAAAAAACTAAAAATAGAACTACCATATGATCCAGCAATCCCACTACTGGTCATATACCCAGAGAAAACTATAATTCAAAAAGACACATGAACCCCAATGTTCATTGCAGCACTATTTCCAATAGCCAGGTCATGGAAGCAACCTAAATGCCTATCGACAATGAATGGATAAAGAAGATGTGGTACATATATGTGATGGAATATTACTCAGCCATAAAAAGGAATGAAATTGGGTCATTTGTTGAGACATGGATGGATCTAGAGACTGTCATAAAGAGTGAAGCATTTTCTCTTCAGAAAGAGAAAAACAGACATCATATATTAATGCATGTATGTGGAACCTAGAAAAATGGTACAGATGAACAGGTTTGCAGGGCAGAAATTGAGACACAGGTGTAGAGAACAAACGTATGGACACCAAGGGGGGAAAGCAGCAGGGGGTGGGGGTGTGATGAATTGGGCGATTGGGATTGAGATGTATACGCTGACCTGTATAAAACTGATGACTAATAAGAACCTGCTGTATAAACAAACAAGCAAACAAAGAACTCCAATTGCCTGTTTTGCAGAAACAGGCAAGCTGATCCTAAAATGTATACGGAAATATGAGTAACTCAGAACAGCCAAAACAATCTTAAAACAGAAGAATGAAATTGAAGGACTCACACTTTCCAATTTCAAACTTACTACAAAGTTAAAATAATCAAGACAATGTGGTGCTGGCATAAGGATCGACATATAGATGAATGGAACAGAACAAAGAACCCAGAAATAAACCTGTGTATCTACTGACTTTCAGTAAGTGTGCCAAGACCATTCAATGCGGAAAGAATAATCTTTTCAACAAGTGGTGGTGCTAGGACCACTGGATATCTGCATGTAAAAGAATGAAGTTTGACCCCTACCTTACAGCATATACCAAAATTAACTCCAAATGGATAAAGAAGAAAACATGCCTAAATCTTTGTGACTATGGAATAGGCAATAGTTTAACTCTTACAACTCAACAACAAAAAGGAAATAACCCAGTTTTAAAGTGGGTAAAGAATCTGAATAGACATTTCTCCAAAGAAGATATACAAATGGTCAATACACACATGAAAAGATGCTCACATCTTTTCCATTAGGGAAGTGCAAATCAATACCACAATGAGACCACTTCATACCAACTAGTTAGAATCAAAAAGAAGGGGAAATGTTGTGTTAGTGAGGATATGCAGAACTTGGAACCCTTATACACTGCAGATAAGAATGTGGAATGGTGCAGTCACTATGGAAAACAGTTTGGCAGTTCCTCAAAAAGTTATACAAGAAAGTTACCTTATGACCCAGTAATTCTACTCCTAGATACAGATCCGGAAGAACTGAGAATTATGTTCCACGCAAAAACTTGTACACAAATGTTCACAGCAGCATTATTCATAATAGCCAAAAATGAATAAACTTAAATGTCTATCAGTGAGTGAATAAAAATGTGGTATATCCCTACCGTGGAATATTACTCACCTATAAGGATCAAGCACTGACACGTACTACAACATGGAAGAACCTTAAAAACATTATGCCAAGTGCATTTCCAGACTCAAAGCCCACATATTACATAACTTCATTTGTATGAAATTCTCAAAACAGGCAAATCCATACAAACAAAAGATTAGCCTTTGCCAGGGGCTGTGGGGAGGAATGGGGAGTGACTGGTAAATAGTGAGCCTCTGGCTATAAATGACTCTCTAGGGACAAGTGGCACAACTTGAATGGGGTCTGAGGATTAGATGGTGGTAATGTCACAATGATAACTTCCTGGTTTTGATGACTGTACTGAGTTATGCAGGAGAACATGCTTGTTTGTAGGAAATTCAGGGGTAATGGGACATCCTATCTGCAACTGTCTCTCAAATGGTTCCAGAAAAAGAGCTATGGAAACCACTTAGTTTACATAGATGATCTTGGCCAAAAATCCACATGATCTATCACGTTCATTATCTTCACCAACAAACTGAACTGTCCGTAAAGCATCAATTTTGTTTAATTCTGGGGTTAAATCTGGCCACGCTCTGAATACCTGACACTCATCTCTATGTTCACTTATGTCACAAGACTGTTATGGAAGCAAGTGAGTCAGCACTTTAAGAATACCTAAAGTGCTATCTAGAGTTCATCTTCCATAGCTTTCATCCACCAATTATTGTTCTTCCAGCTCAATCCACAAAGAGTATTTTAGTGACGGCACAGGTAGAAACTGAAAAAAACGTAAGACTATGTAAATTTAATCTTAAATGCCTAGATTTCTGAGCATTGGGAGGGAGAAACTAAAACTAAAAAAAGTAGGGATTAAAAATGCTAATACTGGCTTTACCAGACACTTGTTATGACCAGAAGAAAAGCACTATATGTGTATCGAATGAGAGGAAAAAATATGGGATCTAGTAATTCAGTAATTGCTGATCATTAGCAAAGAATAAGTATTGCAACTTAGGAATGGCTGCATGTCTGTTTCTTTCCACAATTACTTAAGTACTTTAAGAAATGGAAAGAAAGTACCTGAAACGTAACATTGGCACACTTCTACCTCTTTTCCCACACAACCCCTCAAAAAACAGGAGGCTGTGTGATTTCCCCCAAAATGATTTATTCTTTTCAGCTGGTTGTAAGACTTTAACTCCATTATTCTAGAGATGAGAGTTTAATGATATTCAACTCACCAGTTAACCAAGCCTTTATCAAACTAAGTAGCAGAGGAGAATTCAATTCAGTAAATGGTCTTGTGGGCTGTTACCACATGCTGGGTAACAGAGGTTAACTAAGACTCATTCCCTGCCCTTAGGGGGTTTCCTCTAATAGACAAGAAATAAGGTTCAAAAGAAGAATGAAAGACATGCCTCCTATACTAAATCTATTAAGCGATCAGAACTCTGAAACGATGGAAAACAGCTTTTCAAAATTTTTCAGGTTTATGGGTGCACACATATCCAGATTTTTTAAAAACAGAAAAATTCAATCACCCTGTTTTGTAACCCTTTTTATTTTTTCATCATTCATGTCAATTAGTATACTTAAAAATAACTGTTTTTAATGAGTTGCAGGTATTCCACTGTAAGGATGTATCAAAGTTTACCTAACCAATACCCTGTAGCTAAATGCTCATGCTTTTTTTTTTTTAATTGGGGATCAGGGGAAATCAAGAAAACAGCTGCAACTAACATTATTAACAGCTGTACACTTAGCTAAGATGCTCTATAAAACCATCCTAGGAGTTCATCTCCAAGACACGTGGGTTTATAAAGTATCTTACAGAGGTATTCCAGTTAATTTATCAATCATACCAAACGCCTCCCCACCACCGAAAACTCACTCCAAAACGAACTTGAGAATTCTTATTACGCAATATATTTGTCCCTATGGGTCGGGTCCTAAACACTGCAATTACTGTGTCACTAAACACACACACACAGACCATCACAAACTTCCAGAAAACAAGCCTTAAGGTCTTGATATCCTTCTCCCTGCTCCCTCCCTCTCCCGGCTACTGTGAATGCCCTACTCTAGGCCCTAATATTACTTTGATCCCCGAAGTGTGTGCACTGACTCTCCCTGACTTCGTTCTCTGCCCACTCCAAGCAATCCTACACAATATTCAGATGTAAAACTTCCTGAAGAAAAATATAACCTCCCTGCCTGAAAAATCCCTAATCCCAATTATTAGAGAATAGTGCCAATTTATTATTAACATTTTTGCTATTCAGTTTGGCCACGAATCCACCTTCCAATCTTAACTACTACTCTCTTGCAAATACCCTCCAGTCAAATCCTAGTAAAGTACTCAGTTCTTTGAGAAGCCTCCAACTTCCTGCCCTATTACATATGCTGTTCTCTCATCTGAAATGCACACGTCAAAGAACATCTAGATAATCAGAGATCTGGAAGGGACACCCTAGTCCTCTCACCTTAATTTGCAAACTAGGAACTTCTGTCACTCATCCACCGAAGAGCCCAGAAACCTCCCATCCCAGCATCCTCAAGACACAGTGGTAACTCTAGTTTGCCCGAGACCAATCCACCAGCTGAGATTTCCAAGTCTCATCTGCAAAGATCATGCTCCAGCAATTTGGCTTAGGGCCAGAACTCTTTTTTTTTTTTAAAAAAACAAGCACTTCAGGTTATTCTTAAGCAAGGGGTCAAAGCTTCAGGCCATAATAAGAAAAGCACAGGAAAAAAGAAGACACTGAGTATATGTATAGCCTTGTAGCACTTAGCACATCATCTGACAATTTTCATTTCTGTCCCCATTTTAGAGCCTCCAAAAAACAGATACTCACTGCTACTTGTGCCGAATCCATAAATCTCAGTCCAAAATAGTCGCTTTCAATAAGGTCCAAGTGGTACATAATCTGATCAAACAGCTCTTGTCCTTTGGCTTTTTTCTGAAATGGCAAGAAAATAAATCAGTAAGTGACTCATAAGATCAACAAGTCTGAACTGAAGATGGTTTTAATTACACAAGATCTCTTAAAAAAAAAAATAGTTGCAACACCAAGTATTACTATGTAGCCAGTTATGGGCAAGATACCATGGTTTTCCAATAAACCATTTAAGGCCAAAAGAGAATTTGTGATCTATTATGTGCTTTGCTGGATGGTGTCACTTCCTATCAACCAACAAATATTACTGTGTACCTAACACTGTGTGTAAGAAGAAACTCTTGCTTGTCAATTTTTAGGGTCCCTACTTTAAAGGAGCTTTATAATAACTGGAAAGAGAAAACAAGAAATCTTAGAACACTTAAGCACAAACCATGTGGAACTAACTATATCTGCCAGAGAAGAAAGAGTCACTGACAGTAGAATCATCAGTGAAGGCTTGAAGATCGGTCTTAAACCGGAAAGAATGCAGGGTAGGAAATAGCAAAAGCAGAAATGGAAGGTGGGAGGGAAAATGGACAGCAAGAAAACTACTGATAAACTCAGGAGACACCAAACTGGAGGGAGTCAGGGTGATAACAAAGAAGCTTGCGCAGAAAAAACAGGTCGCAGAGTGTGCTCTCAGGGCCCCTGAGGGATCCCCAGATGAAAGATCCACACGGTCCCAGGATTCTCCTCACGTACCCTCAATCAAAACAACATACTGCAACAGACTGAATGCAGGAGCAGATGAGAGAATCTAAGTACTGGTCTATTAAATCAAGCATTAAAGAGACTGGCAAAAGTGCATAAAATAATGCTACTCTTCTCACTACATTCTTTTGTTGTTTAGTAAGAGTTATTTTTCATAAAAATGTAACTTCTGTTAACCTATAAGGGGTATATTATTGCTATTTTTAAATTAACCAGTAAAGTTTTTCTTTAATTTTTCAGGGTTTTTGGGGGGGCCACACCCTGCAGCATGTGGGATCTCAGTCCCCTGACCAGGGATCAAACCCGCGCCCCCTGCAATGGAAGCGCGAAGTCTTAACCACTGGACCACCAGGGAAGTGCCTAATTTTTCTGTTTTAATTTCTAATATGGTAACTATCCATAAATATAACCTTTTAAGTAAAAGCACTGTTGAGATCCTCAATTTTCATGTATGTTGTATCCATGCCCCTCCCCGTAGTTTTAAATTATTTAGAATATTTCCCATAAAAAAATGTAGATTTTTTAAATTAAATCATCAATTTCTGCCTTTTAACTGACAACTTGATTATTTCGACTTGTCCACCGCTTTTTCTGCACTTTCTACATCCTTTCTATTTGGTAAACTCTCACCCCTTTATGAAGACAGAACTTTACCAGGGCCTCATGCCCCCGGCCTCCCCTCCACCCAATCCTCATCAGGTTTTATGGATATACTTCCTCTATTTTTCTTTTCTTTGGTCATGGCTAATTTTTTTTAAGACAACAACTTTACCTTGGTATTCAATCATTCTTTACATGTCTTGCACATGTACATTACACATACCTAGCAGCATCTGCTAGATTTCTCTCTTCATTTGAGTTTTTCCTCAAGAAATGTTTCCCATGTGGGACTTTCTATGTTTGAGAATATTTTAATCATGCTCTTATACTTGAATGACAGTTGGCTGGATATAAAATTCAAGGTTCAAAGTTACTTTCTGTCAATACTCTATTACTCAAAATACATTACTCTGTCACTCAAAATATATTACTCTATCGTCCTCCTACAGTCTATGTTGTCACTGAAAAGTGTGATGTCAATTTCAGCTTCCCTTCCCCACCCCCCCCCACCCCCGCCGCACTGTGCAGCATGTGTGAGATCTTAGGGATCAAACCTGTGCCCCCTGCAGTGGAAGCTCAGAGTCTTAACCACTGGACCGCCAGGGAAGTCCCTCATTCCTTTTTAAAGCTGAATAATATTCCACGGTACGTATACAGTCGGCCCTCCATACGGCAGGTTCCGTATCCTTGGATTCTGGTATCTGCAGCAGGTTCTGGAACCAATCCCCCACAGACCCCGAGGGACAACTGCGGGCCATTTTGTTTACTGACTCATCTGTTGATGAGCACTGGGTTGTTTCCCCCTGTTGGCTACTGTGAATAATACTGCTGTGAACAGTGGTTTACAAGTATCTGAGTCCCTGCTCTCCATTCTTTTGGGTACATACTTAGGAGCAGAATACTGTAATTCCATGTTTAACTTTTTGAGATGCTGCCAAACAGTTTTCTGTAGTACCTGCACCATTTTACATTCCCACCAGCAATGTACAGGGTTCCACTTTTTCCACATCCTCACCAACACTTGTTATTTTCTGGATTTTCTTTTTTTGTGTTGGTAATAGCCAATCTAATGGGTGTAAAAGGGTATCTCATGTGGTTTTGATTTGCATTTCCCTAATGCCTACTGATGTTAAACATACTTTCATGTACTCACTGGCCATTTGCGTATCTTTTTCGGAGAAATATTTATTCAAGTCCTTTTCCTATTTTTGATTTGACTTGCTTTTTTGTTGTTGAGTTGTAGAAGTTCTTTATATATTCTCTATATTAATCCATTATCAGATACACAATTTGCAAATATTTTCTCCCATTCTGTGGGTTGTCTTTTTACTCTCTTGATAGTGAGTGTCCTTTAATGCACAAAAATTTTTAATTTTGATGAAGTCCAACTTATTTATTTTTTCTTGTGCTGCCTACATTTTATTGTCATATCCAAAAAAACATTGCCAGATCTAATGTTATGAAGATCTTCCCCTATGTTTTCTTCTAAGAGTTTCATAGTTTTAGCTCTCACACTTAAAATTTTGTCATTCTGATTCTACACCCACTCTGATGTGTCCGCGTCTTCCTCACAACCAAGCAATTAACTCAGTTCTCCAACGAGACTGACTGCGTGTCAGACAAACTCAATTCTCACCCCATCTCCCTGGAGAGAGCATCAGACTCCACCAGTTAAGAGCTCAGTCCCACAAGACTGCTCCCACTTCCGATGCCAATCGCAGGTCCAGATTGCTACTGGCTACCGGCTTCTCGTGACCCCCTCCCTGGCTTCAATTAACTTGCTAGAACAGTTCACAGAACTCAGGAAATCAGTTTACTCACTAGATTAACAGTTTATTACAAAGGATTATCAGCAGATACAAATCATCAGCCAGATGAGGAGATACACAGGGTGAGGTCCCAAACACAAGAGCTTCTGTCCCAGTGGAGTTTGGGACCCAGCACGTGGAAGTGTTCTGGTTCACCAACCCAGAAGTTCTCCAAACTTGTCCTTCTGGATCTTTACAGAGGCCTCATTAAATAGGCATGACCGATTAAATCACTGGCCACTGGGGACTGAACTCAATCTCTGGCCCCTCTTCCCTCCCAGCTGGGGTGGGGCCGGGGGTGCCAGCTTCCAACCTCCTAATCACATGGTGAGTCCCCCCAGTCAACCAACCCCTATCAGTGGGCTTCGTTAACATAACAAAAACACTTTTAGGGCTCTCCTGACTTAGAAAATTCCAAGGGCTTTAGGAGCTCTGTGCCAGAAACAGGACAAGGATCAAATATATGTTTATTATAAATCACAATACCACAGTCGTCTTTGATCCATTTTGAGTTAATGTTTGTATATGGTGTAACATAACAATCCAACTTCATTCTTTCGCATGTGGATATTCAATTTTCCCAGCATCATTTGTTGAAAAGACTCTTCCCTCATTGAATGGTGTTAGCACCTCTGCAGAAGATCATTTGACCATGTATTTGAAGGTTTATTTCTAGACTTGCCATCCTGTTCCATTGGTCTGCAGGTCTGTCTGTATGCCAGAACCACGCTGTTTTGATTACTATAGCTTGGTAATAAGTTTTCAAATCAGGACATGCAAACTCAACCTTTTCCTTCTTTTTCAAGACTGTTCTGACTATTTGGAGTCCCATGAGATTCCATATGAATTTTAGGATGATCTGTCCTATGCTATGTGTGCAAAAAATGGTCTTGGAATTTTGATATGGAGTGCACTGAATCTACAGATCACTTTGGGTAGTACTGTCCTCTTAACAATATTAACCTTTCAATCCATGAACGTGGGCTATCTTTTCTTTAGATATTCTTTCATTTCAGTAATGTTTTGTAGTTTTCAGTGTACATGTTTTTTGCCTCCTTGGTTAAACTTATTCCTAAGTAGTTTATTCTCCTTGATGCTATAGTAAAGGAATTATTGTCTTAATTTCATTTTTGGATTGCTCACTACTAGTGTATAGATGTGCACTTGATTCTTGTTGGTTGATCTTGTATCCTGCAATGTTTCTGAATTCTTTTATTAGCTCTAATAGTTTTACTGTGGAATCTTCAGGGTTTCCTACTTATAAGATCAAGTCATCTTGAACAGAAGTAATTTTACTTCTTCCCTTAGAATCTGGATGCCTATCATTTCTTTTTTCTGCCTAACTGCTCTGGCTAGAACTTCCAATACTATGTTGAATAAAAGTGCTGAAAGCAGGCATCCTTGTCTTGCTCCTAATCTTAGGGGAATAGAGACTTAACTTCCATTTCTTAACTTTTCTCTTATGCTTCCTATTTTGTACTTTCTTTCCTCCTATGAAAAGAGTTCCTAAATATGATCTTCCCACTCACTAATTTGTCCTTTATTTTAAATTTGTCTCCTTATTTTGCTATATTCATTAGGATGAATAAGCTTCTCTGGATTATGTGTAACAACAGAAAGAGCTCAACCCTAGTCTGTATCAGCTCCATTTAGCTCTGAGAAATTAGTGGGGGTGTAGATGAGTCCTAGAGGAGAGGCCCAAGAATCAGAAAACCATAGTCAATCACTTCCCATTCAACAAACAACTTTTCAGGTCTGTGATTCACTCCCATTCCAAAGGGAAAGGGAAAGGAATACTAGATACATTCCTTTCATTATAATGTATCACTCCCTGAGAGTTTGATGGAAGAGGGGTAGGGAGTTTAGGTAAAGAAATTTTAAGGGACTTCCCTGGCGATCCAG